AGAGAGAGGTCTTCCATCCACTGGTTCACTCCCCAGCTGGCCGCAACAGCTGAAGCTGCACCAATCCGAAGCCAGGGGCCAGGAGCTTCTTCCAGGTCTCTGCAGGGGCCCAAGCACTTGGGCCATCTTCTACTGCTTTCCCAGGCCACAGCAGAGAGCTGGATCAGAAGTGGCAGCTGGGACTCGAACCGGCACCCATATGGGATGCCGACACTGCAGGCAGTGGCTTTACTGGCTACGCCACAGCACCGGCCCCAAGTAAGCTTTTTTAAAAAAAGTTCTACTCAAACTTCACCGTGTCTGGGTTGTTTGGGCTGGGACTGGAGGCACCAGGTAAAATGACACGCAGGTCACTTTGAATTCGGAGCAAACTGCAGCACTTACCCACCGGAAGTGATGCGTGGAGACTGGTTGTGGTGTGGTCGTCAGGTGTGGGAAGCAGGGCTGGTGTTGCCGAGATGAGGCAGGTGAAGTCTTGAGGCTGAGCTGGGGGACTGTGAGGAGAGACAGGCGAGCCTGGGAGGCAGCGGGGTCCAGTTCTGGAATCCTGAAGGGCTGGACGGATGCTGACAGAGAGGCAGAGGTGGGCCGGTGTGGGCTGTGCAGTGACCTCTGGAGGGGCCGCGTTTCTGCCTGGATTATCACACGCACACCCCTCGTGCCTGGGCTGGGAGTGCAGGGTCCCCACTTCCCTGGAAGAAGAACCAGCCAGACCACCTGCCTCACCCGAACCCACCCTGGGCTGGGCCTCGGGGGCGCCTGTGAGCTGATCTCTGGGGAGTGGGTTTCAAACATGGAGAGGAGCTGGGATGGCTTGTCAGTGCTGGAGGCGGGAGCACCGATGCTGGGAGCACGGGGTCTGCTGAGCCGCTCTGCGCTGGGGAGGGGCCGGGACCGTTCCCCAAGGCCGCCACACAGTCACCGAGCAGGGAGAACTGGGGCCTGTGCACACCTTAGGGGAGAGAAGTCCCCGCCCTCTTTAGCTGCATCTCAGAACCAAGGAACACAAAAGCTGAGCAAGAGAAAGGCACGCAAGTCTGAGGAAGTGTACAGGGGCCTTCACGAGACCATGACAGAGCGTGACGGCCCGCCGCCCTAGATCAGCGCGTCTTGAAGGCTTCACAGGACAGGTGGGCTCTGGCCTGGGCACTCTGCTCTCGGGGGCCACTAAGAGCTGGGGGGGGGGTAAGAGGCACTTCACAGAGCTTGTTTATTCGGATTCACGCTGCCCCGTTTCTAGCCCTCCCACAGGAATCCACAGCTGCAGACGGTTCCAGGGACCTCAGCTGGACATAATCAATATGACATAATCAATACGGCTGTTCGAGCTGGCAGGGCCCCAACTCCGTCAGCGCCGTGTGGTGGCCACACTGGTGTTGGGCGCAGCGGGCAAGATGCCATGTGCCACACGAGTGCCTGGACCCAACCCAGCTCCACTTCCCATCCAGCTGCCTGCGGATGCGCTGCCTGAGAGCAGCAGACAGAGTGGAGGTGGCCGGTGAGCCGCGCGCACGCGCACGTGCACACACACACACACACACACACACGTGGGTAGTCTGGGTGTGGGGTTGGTTCCCTGCTGTGAAGGTAAACACACCCTGTCTGGCCAGGCTCAGCCCAGGTTCGGAGCCCAGAGCCCAGGCTGACCCGGAGCTGCCGTACGCTCACTGCTGATGACACCCACAGTGCCAGCAGTGCCACAGCGGCCACGGCGGCGGGGAAGGGGCAGTGGCTGGAGGACTGGGGCGGGGGGACATCACCTACCTCCCAGAGGATCCACGACTGTTCCTGCCTCTTACCACGGGGCCCTCCTCTCTCTTTAAGGCCCCACATACGGCAGACGGGGGCCTCTCGCCCCCCGGGAGCCTCTCGCCCCCCGGGAGCCCTGCTCTGCAAGTCCACGCCTCTGCTTCCTCAGTAAGACACTCGCCGCTCACCATTTCCTATTCTCCCACCGGCCCCGAGTTTTCTCATGAAGCAAAGTCAAGGACGTGGGTACTGGGCACCACTTAGGCCCCTGCCGTCCACGCTGCAGACCTGGGTTGAGTTCCTGGCTGAGGCCTGGCCTAGCCCCAGCTGTGGACATTTGGGGAGTGAGTCAGCCGATGGAAGACCACTGTCTGTCTCTTCTTCTTTCAGATAAATAATAACAATAAACTATATTCTAAGGGTTTTTTTGTTTGTTTGTTTTGACAGGCAGAGTGGACAGTGAGAGAGAGAGAGAAAGGTCTTCCTTTTGCCATTGGTTCACCCTCCAATGGCTGCCATGGCCCGCGCGCTGCGGCCAGTGTACCACGCTGATCCGAAGGCAGGAGCCAGGTGCTTTTCCTGGTCTCCCATGGGGTGCAGAGCCCAAGCACTTGGGCCATCCTCCACTGCACTCCCTGGCCACAGCAGAGAGCTGGCCTGGAAGAGGGGCAACCGGGATAGAATCCGGCGCCCCAACCGGGACTAGAACCCGGTGTGCCGGTACCGCAGGTGGAGGATTAGCCTAGTGAGCCGCAGCGCCGGCCTATTCTAAGGTTTTTAAAATTTATTTTAAAGGCACAGAGAGAGAGAGATCGCCTATCCAGTGGTTCACCTCTCAAACACCTGCAACGGACAGGGCTGGGCCAGTCTAACTCCAAGAGCCAGGAGCTCCATGCGGGTTCCCGCGTGGGCAGCAGGCCCAGCTTCCACTGCCCTCCCAGGCACATTGGCAGGAAGTGGGGCTCAAACCCGCAGTCTGCTCTGGGAGGCCGGCACCCCAAGCCGTGGCCCACTTGCTGTGCCATGACACCCACCCCCAGCGAACATTCTCTAAAGGGACACTCTGGGGGCCCGGCACTGTGGCGTGGCAGGTACAGCCACCGCCTGTGATGGCAGCATCCCATGTGGGCGCTGACTCCAGACCCGGCTGCTCCGCTTCTGACCCAGTTCACTGCTAGTGCGCCTGGGAGAGCTGTGGAGGACGGCCCGAGTGCCTGGACTCCTGCACCCACATCAGAGGCCTGGAGAAAGCTCTTCGCTCCTGGTTCAGCCCTGCCCTGCCCCGCCATTTTGGACATTTAGGGTGTGAACCAGCGGAGGGTAGATTTCTCTTAAGTGACACTCTGGGGACGGGAGCTGTGGTGCAGCTGCCCCAGGGTAGGGCATGGCTGGGCAGACGGCCGAGTGCGGCCTGGAGTGGGTGTGGAGAAGATGCCCCAGCCAGGGCAGACGCCAAGGAGCAAAGGGCCCAGGGCGGGCAGGTGGGACAGGCTGAGAACTGGCGGTCCTGGAACCAGGGGTGGGCAGCCCCAGCTCCACTAACAGCCTGTGTGCAACTAGAGAAAGGGACACCTGAGGCTGCCCGCTGCGCCCAGGCCTTGACAACCACTCCCCACCTCTGGGGGTTCTTGCCCAGTGGGACAGCCCTGGCCCAACCATCTTTAAAAAGTAACCTTTCAGGGGCTGGCGCCATGGCACAGGTTAATCCTCCGCCTGCAGCACTGGCATCTCATATGGGCGCCGGTTCGAGTCCCGGCTGCTCCTCTTCTGATCCAGCTCTCTGCTATGGCCTGGGAAAGCAGTGGAAGATGGCCCAAGTGCTTGGGTCCCTGCACCCACATGGGAGACCAGGAAGAAGCTCCTGGCTCCTGGCTTCAGATGGGTGCAGCTCCGGCCATTGCGACCCAGGGGAGGGAAGACCGTTCTCTCTCTCTCACTGTCTGTAACTCTAACTGTCAAATAAATAAAATCTTAAAAAAAATAAATAAAAAATAATCTTGTGGGGGCCAGTGTTGTGCCGCCACCTGCAATGCTGGAGTCCCAGATGGCTCCTTGCAATGACCTGGGAAGGCAGTGGAGGATGGCCCCAGCGCCTGGGCCCTGCACCCACATGGGAGACCCGGAAGAAGCTCCTCCTGGCTTCAGATTGGCCCAACCCCGGCTGTTGTGGCCATATGGGGAGTGAACCAGAGGATGGAAGACCTCTCTCTCTGTCTCTCTCTAACTCTGCCCTTCAAATAAATAAAATGAATCTTTAAGAAATAATCTGTTTTGATACTTTGAGAGGCAGAGAGTGAGCGAGCGCCCATGATCCCAAACGCAGTGAAATGGGGCTGGAGCAGGCCGATTCCATCCAGGTCTTCCCGTGGGTGGCAGGGACCCACGTCCCGGAGCCGTCTGCCGCCTCCTGGGGCAGGCACGGGCAGAAGCCACCTAGGACGCAGAGGGGGGACTCGAACCCAGGCATGCCTGCCCGGACGCAGAGGTCCTAGGCTGAGTCTGCCTGCGACCGCGGTCGCCCGGCAGATGGGAAGTGACCCCTCCCCGAGGCTCTCGTGCGCGGTTGCCGGGTGCTCGCTGATGCCGAGGTCTCTTCCTGTGCTGTCGGCCCCGCGTGCGTGTCTGGAGAAACGCCTCCTCCAATCAGCCGCCCGCTGGAACTGGGGTCAGTTACCTGGACTCCTGATCTCCAGTGCCTGCTTTAGCTTTGTACCCGGCGTGCCTCTCACTTCCTCCTGGCCCAAGAACGAAGGCACCGGGGCATCAGGCCCCGTTAGTCCTTGGTGACCCTGTGTGGGGTGAGGCCTTGGCACCCAGGGTAGGGGCCCTACGTGCCACGGTGCAGCCTCAGGTGAGCTGCGGGGGCCGCGAGCTGAAAACACTGGGCGGAGGCAGTCGCTGTAAGTGTCCCCGGGAGCGAGACGCCTGCTGACTTCTGCGCCCACGTGCCCTTTCCAGAAGGTTCGAGCCGAGCCTGGAAGCGTGGCGCTGCCCTGCGGGGGTGGGGTGGGCAAGCAGGACACCCTGGACCGCTCTCAGGAAAGCCGTCCTTGACCGGGCAACAACCTGAGCAACACCCAAGGCTCCGGACTCGGCAGGAGCGGACGGTTCCGAGTCCTGACGTGGGGAGACGGGAGGGAGACAGGCTGCCTCCCCAGAGCTGGGCACGGGGAGACGGGAGGGAGACAGGCTGCCTCCCCAGAGCTGGGCACGGGGAGACGGGAGGGAGACAGGCTGCCTCCCCAGAGCTGGGCATGGGGAGACGGGGAGGGAGACAGGCTGTGGGGAGGAGGGAAGCCGCGGGTGGGCCGGGCCCGAGGCTTCAGCGCTTGGCTGCCGCCAGCCGCCACCCACACAGCAGCCCCGTGCGGGGCGGGCGCAGGGCTGGGCTTCCCAGAGAAGGACAGGAGCAGCCCCCTTGGCGTCCTGGCTGTGGCCCCAAGAGGCAGCCCCCCGGGAATACACAGGCCAGGAGTTCAGGGAGCCAGCCTGGAGGATTCGGGGGGCAAAGGCAAGATGGCAGGTTCTGGTCTCCGACCACGCAGCCCTCGGGCCCCCACATGGCCGCAGCCCTTTTTCCAGGATGACACCCAGGTCGCTGGCCCCGGCCCCGTGGAGGGGGCTGGGCAGGGCTGCTGGGTCCGCCCCAGGTGGCACACAACTGTCAAAGCAGCCTTGAGATAAGCCCGATGGGGAGAGGTTAGTGGCACCCAGCCCGGGCCAGCCCTCCCCTGCATGAGACGGGTGAGCAGCCGGTGGCACAGAGGCCGGCTCCTCCCAGACCTGATGGGTGGCTGGGAGGGGACTGGAAGCCCGCCCACCTGGATGCACCCAACTCCGGGGGAGAGGGTGCCCAGAAGTCACTCCTGCACAGGTTCCTGGGCGCAGGCCAGCGCACGGGGGTGCCCATCTGTGTAAGTTAGGACGCTGCCACGCCAAGTTCTCGGTCAGTTTTGTGGCATCTGGCAAGCAGAAAGCCCAGCTCATGCGGGGGGGTGGGGAGCCAGGGGCCGGGGACAGGCCCCGCCCCCCAGGGCCCTGTCTGTCGGCACCCAGTGCCTTTCCCTCCTCCCCTGGGAGCTGCCCAGAGGCAGGCCTCTGCAAAGGGGGATGGGGGCCCAGGGTAGGGGAGGGATGACCCCACACACTGGGCATCAGTCCAGGCAGGATCTTGCTTCCACCCCCAGGCCCTCTTCTTCCCTGTCCAGGGGCTAGCGAGCCAGAGATGGCACCTGGGGGCTGCCCAGCTCCGGGGTGTGGCTGGGGGGGAGGTGGGGGTGGCAGCGAGTCTGGCCCTGGCATCCAGCTGTCATCTGGCCAAGGCCCTGGTGCAGCCTGGTTATCCACGCTGGCCCTGATCTCCTTCTGGGAGAGCAGCCCCAGGCCACCAGCGCCCCCAGGTGGACAGTTTGAGAATGACAGCACTGAAAAGGCAGTGGGGGGCGCCCCCTGCTGCCCAGGTTGGGAGGAAGTGTGGAGCAACCCTGTTTGAGCTCTGTCCCCACCACTTACCTGCTCTGGGACCTAGGCTGGGTAGCCTGACTTCTCAGCTTTGGCCTAAATACAATGGCATTCAGTCACAGAAGGCACTCAGGTAGCTGGGGACCGCCCCACCCCCACACTGGAGCGGCCGACGGGTGACAGGATGGCGAAGCCATCGGTGTCCTCAGAGGTCTCCGAAAATCTCAGGAAGGGTAAATACCAACATCACAGGCGCAGCAGGGGCCCGTGCTGGCGACAGCCCTGCCTCCAACCCATGTGGCGGCCCTGGGAGGCCACATCCCCGGCTCGGCCTCAGTCTTCTCATCTGTAAATGGGGTTGATGAAGTGCAGTGGAAACACTCCACACTGAGAAGGCGGGCCTTCTTCCAGCTGGGATTACTCTGAAAAAGAGTTTAAAGACTCATATTTGTTTGAAAGACAGTGATGGGGGAGGGGAGGGAGGAAGAGAGAGAGAGAGGTCTTCCACCTGCTGGTTCACTCCCCAGATGGCTGCAGCGGCCGGGGCTGCGCCAAGCAGAAGCCAGGAGCCCAGCGAGTGGGGCAGCTCGCACTCGAGCCAGCGTCCATATGGGAATCCGGTGTCACAGGCAGCCACAACGCCAGCCCCACATTTTCTTTAGGAAAAAAAAAAGAGGGGAGCAGCTATACAAGAGGTCTTCAGAAAGTTTTTGGAAAATGAGCACATTGCACATGGAGTTTTGTAGCGAAGTGGACTTCTTTTAAACGCGTTCATTATTTTATCTGAAAAGTGGAGAGAGAGAGTTGGCCCACCTGCCTCTCACACCCCCACAGGCCTGCAGCAGCGGGGGGAGGTCTCCCCGTGGCCTTTAAATAGCTTCTCCTTGTCCCTGCACCCTCCCCGCCCCAGGCGCCTGGGGCAACCCCCGCCTGGGCTCTCTGCAAACACGGGGTCTTGCTTCGCCCTGCTGACACATCCCCTGCCAGGCCCGTGTGCGGGCAGCGTCACTCCTGGGACAGGACACTCCGGCCACAGGCGCGGGGCCTGCACCTAAGCCCGAGGGAACGCCGGGCGAACCCACGGAGGCCACGGGCACCGGACAGCCACAGAGCAGGTGAGCTGGGCCGTGCCCCAGCAGGACCGCACCCCCCCAGCCCACAGGGGGGGCGGTCCAGACACAGCGTCCCAGCAGAGCCGCTGGGTCACTCCCCAGACGCCTACAGTAGCCAGGGCACGGCCAGGAGCCGGACACTCGGTCTGGGTCTCCCACGTGGACGACAGGGGCCCGAGCATTTGCGCCATCATCGCCGGGTGCCGCCCAGGGCGTGTGTCAGCAGGGGTGGCGCAGGACGGGAACCCAGGCGCTCCCGTGGGTGTCCCACGCCGCGTCTCACCCACCGTGCCACGCTGCCGCCTGTCTACCTGGCTTCCTTAGGGACTCGGGAGTTGAGTGGCATCTCGTTCGGCAGATGGAAAAGGTGCAGCCGAGCCGCGGGCTGGCTCTGCGGGCTGAAGAAGGCGGGGACGGGGGAGGGCAGGCGGACGCTGCAGGGCGGTAGCAACAGGGCCTCTCGTCCCCGGCCGGCTCAGGCTGACCAGGCCCTGCCGCTGGGCTGCTGCCAGGCTCTGGGCTTTGGGAAACTGGCTTACGTCGAAGTTCAGCTCTACCGCGGGGCACGCGGCGTGCGCCCCGGGCTGGGCTGGGCTGGGCTGGTGGGGCCGGACAGCTAATGAACTTCCCTGCCGGCCCCAGCTTCCGTGGGACGCGCCCCGCCCCGCAATGCAGGTGGAAACGTCTGGCGGCGAAACAGCCTGGGGTGAGTGGAAGCTCGCGGGCCCCACAGGAGAAAGGTGCTCTGTCACTTGGGGTGGGCAGGGAAGGGTGCACCTCCCCAGATCCGCCACCGGGGGCGCATGTGCACACCCTGCACCTGGGCCGCTCCCCAGCCAGGCGGAACTTGTTTAACTGCGTCTAGTGGGTCTGACCACACGACGCTGGCCCCTGACCGGTCGTCTTCACGAGGGCGCAGCCAGCTGGACTCCAGGCCTCTCTCTCTGTAACTCTCTTTCAAATAAATTTTTAAAAATCCTAAAAAAATGTAATTATTTATTTGAGAGGTAGAGACAAAGCTGCCACCTGCTGCCCCCCCCCCACACCCCAAATGCTCACAACAGCGGGGTCTGAGACAGGGAGCCTGGAGTGCATCCGGGTCTCCCACCGCGTGGCGGGGACCCAACTGCTGGCGCTGTCACCTGCTGCCTCCGGGCGCAGATGAGCCGGAGGCCGGAACTCGGAGGGAGCCAGGACTCGCACTCAGACCCTCCTGTAGCACCGTCGCGGGCCTTGGGCTGGGCTTCCAACCGCTCCCCCTGGCGTCTCCTTGGGGTGGCGTGGCTGGCCACGTGGTGTCTCCAACCCAAAGGAAGCGCTGCTGTCAGGCACGGCGCCGACCCCTCTAACGCAGCCGGGGAGCTGGGGTCTGCGCCGGGAGCTGCCACGTGAGGGGGGCGCTGGGCATCCACAGGTGCTGACCTGGGGGGGGAAGGGGCCCAGCAGGGGGGAGGTCCGAGCAGCCGGATGGGAGGAGCTCCCGCTCCTGCAGGCCTGTGCCGCCCCGGGCAGTCCGAGCCCCTGGGCAGCAGTGGCCGGGGTCTTCCGTGCTCTTGGGGAGATCCTGCCCCATTAGTGCAGGATTCTAAAGAGGGAGCCGTGGGGCCCATGTGGTGGTGCAGCGGGAGCAGGTGCCGCCTGCGGTGCCGGCACCCAATATAGGCACCGGTTCATGTCCCAGCTGCTCCTCTTCTGATTCAGCTCCCTGCTATGGCCTGGGAAAGCAGTGGAGGATGGCCCAAGTGCTTGGGCCCATGTGGGAGACCCAGAAGAAGCTCCTGGCTCCTGGCTTTGGATCGGCACAGCTCCGGCCATTGTGGCCATTTGGGGAGTGAACCAGCGAATGGAAGACCTCTCTCTCTCTCTCTCTCTCTGCCTTCAAATAAATAAATAAATAAATATTTTTTAAAGAATGGAGTTACTCATAGCCTTTCCTGTGTTCCTCCAGTTCTACCTCAAGCCCATTCACCAGATAATAGCCGTACGGCAATGAGCGTGCCGGCCATGGGCCTGGCGCTGTGGCGCGCCCTGACTCCCTCTGGGGCGTGAAGTCTGTGCTGCTGCCATTCCACAGACGGGAAGACCGAGGCCAGTTTGCAGAGCGTCGCCCACCAGCCTGGGCAGCCTGAATCACGCCGCCTCTCGGACCCGGTGCCAGGGCCTGGCTCGGGGCGGAAGAACTGCCCTGGGGGTGCCCTGCGGATTTGGGGTCCAGGCAGCCGCTCGGCGCCCCCGCCCCTCCCTCCCTGGAGCGGGCGGGCGTTGGAGGCGTCTGTGTCTTCATCTGCACACGACCCCTGCATTTTCGTGCCTGCCCAACATCCGGGCCTTTGTGGGTCTTCCGAGGGGTGACAGGGCAGGGGCGCGGGGACAAGCCTGGGGCCCCCGCCCAGTCGGGAACTTGCGCTCTGTCCGCAGCCAGCCCGAGCCCTCGTTTTGGCTGGGTGACCGGCTGGCCGGGCCTCGCTGGCCTCACCTCTGCCCTGGGAATGCTGACGGGGCGGGGCGCTGGGCAGCCTGGGCTCGCCGGCCCCCGGGCACCCAAGAAGACCCAGCGGCCAGCCCCCAGCCCTCAGCCTCCCCGGCTCACCCCCAGGCCCTGGCCTCTGGGGCCGGCCCCCAGCCCTCAGCCTCCCCGGCTCACTCCCAGGCCCTGGCCTCCGGGGCCGGCCCCCAGCCCTCAGCCTCCCCGGCTCACCCCCAGGCCCTGGCCTCCGGGGCCGGCCCCCAGCCCTCAGCCTCCCCGGCTCACCCCCAGGCCCTGGCCTCCGGCGCCACGCGTGGCCGTCCTGCTGCTGCCGAAGCTAGCCTTGGCTGGAAAGGTCCAGAACCCTCGGGGCGGCATGGGTTTGGGAGTGGCCTGCGCTCATTCTCCCGAGTCCAGTGGCCGAGGGGCCCCGGAGACTGCGCTGCCGACCGTGGGGTGGTGCAAAGTCCACCCGGGTTCAGTCCAGGGCTTGTTTTGTCCCCCCTGAGAGCTTTCGCCCCGCGGCCGGGGGATGTGGGGTCGAAGGCTGGCCGTGCCTTCCTGGTGCCCCGCTGGGCCCCGGGTCACTTGCTCTGTGTCTCGTGGAAACCCAGGCTGTGTGTGTGCCGGAGGAAGTGGCCCCAGCAGGGGCGGGGGCTCGGCCACAGGCCTCTGTCCAGATCTGCCGCTGACAGCACCGCACCAGGCTCCGGCTCCGGCTCCGGCTCCGGCTCCGGGATGGCAACGGTCTTACCAAACTTTCACTGGGAGACTGATTTTATCGCAAAGGGAACCAACTCATTGTTCAAAAGTGAAATCAGCAAATCCTGACTCCTTTATATGTCGTCTTTTTTTTATATAAACATTTATTTATTTGAAACTCAGAGTGACAGAGAGAGGGGAAGGAGAGAGAGGGAGAGGGAGAGGGAGAGAGAGAGGGAGAGAGGTCCTCTATCCGCTGGTTCACTCCCCAGAGGGCCTCGGCGGCTGTGGCTGGGCCAGTTGGAAGCCAGGAGCCAGGAGCTTCCTCTGGGTGCCCACGTGGGAGCAGGGCCCAGGACCTGGACCTGGACGTCTTCCTCTGCCTCGCAGGTGCCCAGCAGGGAGCGGCCAGGGTCAAAGCAGCGCCCAGAGTAGGGACTGGCGGCTGCGGGGCAGATGGGTCGCAGGCCCACGCTGGTGCCTCCACGGGCAGCCTGACGACCTGCCAGGTGGGGATGGTTACTGTCCCCACGTTACAGATGAGGCGCGCGCAGGTAGGTGACTCGCCCACGGAAAGAGCGAGCCTGGAGCCCGCCCTCTGAACCCGCCGCTCCACTTCTGCCCTGGGACGCGGCTGCGGCATCAACAACAAAGTAGACTCGTGCCCCAGAGGCGAGCAGTTCCCAGCAAAACAAACGCGACCTGCGTGGTGCGCCAGCACAGTGCATTCTGGGAAATCATGCCCAACAATGGCCGCCGTTTCCCGACAGGAGGCTTCTGGGCAGACGCGGCTGATTCTCCCACACCTCTGTCTTACACGGCAATGGCACTTCAGCTCAGCACCCGGTTCTCTGCCCAGCAACTGCTTTTCCCAGCTCCCCTTGCAACTAAGGGAAGTAAGACAGACATGACAGCTGCAAGGTTGATCTCTAGGTCAGATTTGCTAGCCGAGTGTGGGTGCAGTGGAGGGAGCTGGAGCAGCCACGTTGGGCCACGAGATGAAAGTTGAATGCTAAGGAGCAAAGCAGTGTCAGGAACTGGGGTGTTAGTTTGTGGGAGCAGCTCAGTCCTCGAGCCCTGACTCTGCCCACCTCGGGCCGCCTACCTCAGGAAGAGAGAAAATCCCACCATTAAAAGCCACTTTATTGGAGAGACAAAGGGACAGGAGGGAAAGCGAGAGCATCCGCTCATTTGCCCCCAGATGCCCACACAGCTGGGCAGGGCAGGAGCTGGGAGCCCAGGTCCCCGCGCGGCCGTCGGGAAGCCCACCTACCTGAGCCGTCACCGCCGCCCAGGTCCTCACCAGGGGAGACTGACATCGGCCCAAGCCAGGCGTTGCCCCCAAGGACTCCCGCGTGGGACCAGCGACCTGCACCGACGGGCTGCAGACTCTGCTGCCGCATGTGGGGCATGGGTGGCTCAGAGACCACCCTGGCGGGGACAGCTGGGCTCCTCCCGCCCTGAGGCTGTGGTCGGGGCAGGCCGGGCAGGGTCCGGGCTCCGAGTCGGATCCGGACCCCTCTCTCTCGCCCTTTTCCCCGTGGGCACAGCTCTCCCTGCACCTCCGTTCTGATCTGTGTGACCCCACCGGGGCCGGGGGGCGTCCGAGCGGGCGTGGACGGGAGGCGCGGGGGCTGAATGTCCCCACAGCCTCTCCAGGACGTCGGGAGAGCTCACGGCGGTTTTGCAGCGGCCATTTGTCCCCTCCGTGGGACGTCAGCGCCATTTCAGAGGGTTTATTGACTTTTTTTTAGAAGCCTTATTTATTCTCCCAGCAGGCCTGGGCTGTAGCGTTTCCTGGTAAAGCAATGTTTCGATGTACTTGCTTTCCCAGGCCAGGGGGGGCCTCCGCGGGACAGGGTAGGGTGGGGAGGCTCGGGCTGGGGACAGAACAGGAGCAGGTGGAGGGCGGGCGCCCGAAGCTGAGGCGGGCAGGGGAGCCGTGCCGGGGTGGGAGCCCAGGCCCTGGGGGCTCAGGCGAAAGGCAGGGACGGAGAATGCACTGACCAGGTGGCCGGGGCCGAGGACAGAGGTCTGGGCATGGAGAAGCCAGGGGCTGGGTCCCCGGGGCCGAGGGCCTGTCCTGGATGGGGTGCCCTGGCCAGGGGTTCCAGCCTCCTTACAAGAGGGAAAAGCCTGGCCCAACCTGGAATAAATGGAAATGGTCAAAACGTCAGGGACTTGCAAGGTGTCTGGGCGGCTGGGTAAGCCACAAGCCGCCTGCCACGCCCGCAGCCCGCGTGGGCGCCGGTGCGCTGAGACTCGGCTGCGCCACTGCCGGTCCCGGTCCCGGTCCCTGCCTGGGAAAGCAGCAGAGGACGGCCAAGTGCTTGGGCACCTGCACTCCTCAAGTTCTGGGCGCACTTTTTTCCTTTTTAAGTTATTCAAATAAATCTTTTATTTATTTGAAATGCAGAGAGAGAGAGAGAGAGAGAGAGAGAGAGAGAGAGAGAGAGAGAGAGAGAGACCCATCCGCTGGTTCACTCCCTAAATGGCTACAACAGCCGGGGCTGGGCCAGGCTGAAGCCAGGAGCCAGGAGCTCCATCCGGATCGCGCACGTGGGTGGCGGGGCCCAAGCACTCGCGCCAGCCTCTGCTTGCTCGCGGGAAGCTGGGCTAGAGTGGGAGAGCCAGGACTGGGCCCGGCTCTCGGATGCAGGACGCGGGCGTCCCCGCCGGCTCTCCTGGGGCACCGCATCGGCCACTCCGCCTATCACCCCGCAGGCTCATGCAAACAGGGCTCCGTGGTTCCTGGCTGAGCCCACCTGCCATCAGCCCCTGCAGCTTTCTCTCGGTGTAATGAAGCCCACCCCCAGTACTGGGGGTCCCACCTGTGGGCCCCAGCCCACCCCAGCCCCTGCCTCAACCGCAGCACAGCGGCGGACCCGGCCAGGGCTCCAAGGGCACCGGGGGTCCACTAGGCTCTCAGATGCCCCCCGGAGACAGCAAGGCCACCAACAGACCAACGGGAAGCTGGTGACCACTGAAAGCCGTTGTGACCCCAGCGGCGGACGCACAGCCAGGGACCGGGCTACACCCGTCACCGCCCACCGGGCCGTTGCTTCCTTTTCCAGAAACTTGGCGCTGTGCTGGCTCTGCAGGGTGGCGGCCCGTGGGGCGGGTGTGCCAAGGACAGGTCGCCCAGCCTGCCGCCTGCTGGCACGGGTTCCTTGTCCACTAAGTAAAGAAAGCAAAAGGGCAAACTGTCTTTGTTCCTTTGCTTCCTTTTGTGTATGTATGTACACACAAATTTACATACATCTTAAAGACTTCATTTATTTACTTGAGGGGTAGAATTACAGACAGAGAGGGAGAGGCAGAAAGGTCTTCCATTTCTGGTTCACTCCCAAGACGACTGCCATGGCCAGAGCTGCGCTCATCCGAAGGCAGGAGCCAGGAGCTTCTTTCAGGTCTCCCAAGCGGGTGCAGGGGCCCAAGGACTTGGGTCATCTTCTACCGCTTTCCCAAGCCTTAGCAGAGAGCTGGATTGGAAGAGGAGCAGCCGGGACTCGAACCGGCACCCATAAGGAATGCCGGTGCCACAGGCGGAGGACTAACCAACTGCGTCACAGCGCCGGCCCCAATTTTATATTTTGAAATGACAATATTTAAAAATATATATTTAAGAGGCAGAGAGCTAGCGAGTGAACTCATATGTTGGTTCATTCCCTAAAGGCCCAGAACAGCCAGGGCTGGGCCAGGGCCAAATCTGGGAGCCAGGAGCTCCATCCGGGTTTCCCTGTGGGTGCAGCAGGTGCACGGGGCCCTGAGCTGCACCAGAAGCTCCATCTGGGTCTCCCTGTGGGTGCACGGGGCCCTGACCTGCGCCAGGAGCTCCATCCAAGTCTCCCTGTGGGTGCACGGGGCCCTGACCTGCGCCAGGAGCTCCATCCAAGTCTCCCTGTGGGTGCACGGGGCCCTGACCTGCACCAGGAGCTCCATCCAGGTCTCCCTGTGGGTGCAGCAGGTGCACGGGGCCCTGACCTGCACCAGGAGCTCCATCCAGGTCTCCCTGTGGGTGCAGCAGGTGCATGGGGCCCTGACCTGCACCAGGAGCTCCATCCGGTCTCCCTGTGGGTGCACGGGGCCCTGACCTGCGCCAGGAGCTCCATCCAGGTCTCCCTGTGGGTGCACGGGGCCCTGACCTGCGCCAGGAGCTCCATCCGGGTCTTCCTGTGGGTGCACGGGGCCCTGACCTGCGCCAGGAGCTCCATCCGGGTCTCCCTGTGGGTGCAGCAGGTGCACGGGGCCCTGAGCTGCACCAGGAGCTCCATCCGGTCTCCCTGTGGGTGCATGGGGCCCTGACCTGCGCCAGGAGCTCCATCCAGGTCTCCCTGTGGGTGCACGGGGCCCTGACCTGCGCCAGGAGCTCCATCCGGGTCTCCCTGTGGGCGCACGGGGCCCTGAGCTGCGCCAGGAGCTCCATCCGGGTCTCCCTGTGGGTGCAGCAGGTGCATGGGGCCCTGACCTGCACCAGGAGCTCCATCCGGGTCTCCCTGTGGGTGCACGGGGCCCTGACCTGCACCAGGAGCTCCATCCGGGTCTCCCTGTGGGCGCAGCAGGTGCACGGGGCCCTGAGCTGCACCAGGAGCTCCATCCGGGTCTCCCTGTGGGTGCAGCAGGTGCACGGGGCCCTGACCTGCACCAGGAGCTCCATCCGGGTCTCCCTGTGGGTGCACGGGGCCCTGACCTGCGCCAGGAGCTCCATCCGCATCTCCCACATGGGTGGCAGGGTCCAAGTATTTGGGGGATCCCTGCTCCCTCTCAGAGGCCTCACTGGCAGCAGGCTGGAGTCAGGAAGTGGAGCCAGGAGTCGCACCCAGGTGCTGGGATGCAGGATGCGGCTCCCTGGCCAGCGTCTTAACAGAATCACATGCCGTCAAATCTGTCCGGGGCTAAGCTGCCCCTGCAGAGCCGGCAGTCCCACATGAGCGCCACCTGGAGTCCGGCTGCTCCACTGCTGCAGCTCCCTGCTAACGTGCAGGGGAAGGCGGCAGAAGACGGCCCAGGTGCTTGGGTCCCTGCCACCCACATGGGCACTCAGATGGAGCTCCAGGCTCCTGGCCTCACCCGGTCCAGCCCCTGTCATGGCCATCTGGGGAGTGAACCAGCAGACGGAAGCTTGCTCTCGCTCTCGCTCGCTCTCTCTCTGTAACTCTGCCTTCTGGATACAGAAAATAAATCTTTAAAACATTTTTTCCCAGTGGTTCTTAGCGTATTCACTAGTTGCACAACTGTCTCCACTAAAAAAAAATAGCTTTTAATTCTGATGGAATTCAGTTTAGCTTTTCTTTTGTCAGTTGTGCTGGGGGTGTCCCGTTAAAGAGACCATTGCCTAATCCAAAATCACGAACCCGAAGCCTAGTCCAGTTCCCACCCCCGCCTCACCGCAGAATTCCCAGCATGCTCTGCAGCAGTGCGGTCCCAAGTCCTGCACCGGGTCTGCCAGGCACTCGGCTGCAGAAGCTGGAGACAGACGCACCAGTGAAGGCAATCGCTCCCCTACCCCAGGGCTGCTGGGAACACGACTCCCCCCTGCCTCGCCCCGGGCCCCTGCCAGGCCGCTCGGACCCCCTCCCCCTCAGCCTCCAAGTCTGGTTTCAGGTCTCCAGGGCAGGCTTCGGCCCGGGCCATGGCCTCTTTCCCAGAAGTCACTGTCCAGCGGGTGTTCCAGTTCCCACTCCCCAGGAGGCAGCTGGGGCACTGGACAACAGGCGCTCGCAAGTTTGGGATGGGCTGGGGTAAGCACAGGGCCTCTCTGGAACCAGGCCCTGGCAGAGGGTGGGGTCGATCCCTCAGGCCTCCGAGAAGGAGACGAGGTCAACCAGGGGCCCCCGCCCGGGCTGGCACCCTCCCCTCTTCCTTCTTGCCTGGAGCTCGGGACAGCCAGGGCCTGGGTCCCCCCAGGAGGACAGGGGGCGTGCAGCAGGAACACGACCACCATGCATCACACACACACGTGGCTGGCTCGTCGGGTCATCACCGCCTCCCAGCTCCTCCTGTCCATGAGCCAGGGCCTGCAGGACACAACACAGGAACCCCGCTCTGGCTGTGCGGGGAGGGTGCAGCAAAGGCGGCCGTGGCCTCTCCACCTCCCAGCCTGGAGGTGACCCCGCCGTTCCCCTTCCACTCCCTCGTCACTCCCCAGGATGCTGCTGTCACTTCTGGCCGGCTGATTTCGGCCATTCATAGTGGGTTAAGAAGCCCTGCATAGTGTGGGTGCTGCAAGGTAGGGCGCCCCCTGCTGTCCAGGCCGGCAGACCAGGGGCCGCGGGGGACAAGCCAGGGCCCAGCTTCTGAGACAAGGGTGCCTCCAATTGCCCCCTCATCCTGACAGGGCCCCAGGGTTTGACCCCACACCCTACAGGGGGCACAGGCATCCCAGGTGTCGGCTTAACCTGTAGCAGAGCGACGCCTGCCCCGAGGTGACTCATTTTATTTATAGCATTAAAGTATAACCTGCTCATTTTAAAGCAGTGTTAAAAGAGTGAATGAGGTGGGGGGGACAATTACAATCTGTGGCTTTCATCTGTCTTACTCGACTGTCGTTTTAATGATCTGTGACCACTTTAAAATTTACCGTATATGGGTGAAATGCTCAATTTTTGTCATTCAATTATTTATAGCTGTTGTCTATGTTCCCATTAAACTGGGTCCTTTTGCTTTTTTAAAAACTTAATGCATACATAAATAAATTAAAGTCCACTGAAGTAAAAAAAACCTCAACAAACGAACAGGCAGTTCCTGCTCCAGCTGCAGGGAGTCCAGGCTGCCCTCGAGCTGCGGGCAGGACCAGGCCGCTCAGGGCTCGCCCTCGGCTGCCAAGGAGCAGCGGCCGAGCCCAGAGCCCCTGGCAGCCCCCAGTCCCGCCAGGGAGGGGCTTCTCCAGGCTGGCAGGCGCACCCGGCCCCAACAGGAACGGGCTGGGCCCCGCCCTGCCAAGGTCAGCTGTCTCTCTGGCACAGCCCTGGGCCATCCTGGCCTCGCCCAGCGCCTTGGCTGGGCTCCCACCCTCTCTGGCTGGCTCTCCCAGGCCAGAGGCCCTGCTGTGCAGGTGGACTTTCCCTGACTCTCAAACAGCTTCGTGTAGGACAAAACAGATGTGGCTTATTGTGGGGCGCAGGGAGGAGTGCTGGTGGGACCCCAGGCTCCTCCCCTCCCCCCACCGCAGGGGCTCCTATCACCCAGGGGACGTAGGCGGCTGGGAGCCAGCCCTGCGGTGGGCAGCCTGCAGATCCCCAGCTGTAGCCATTCCCCACCTGCAGAGCCAGGCTAATGCAGCTGCGTGCGTGAATCTGCTTCACCAACCGCCCAGCAGGGGCACCAGTGAGTCACCTTTTATCGCGATCCTGTGTCAGAGGGCCTGTCCCTCTCAATGCTGCCACTGGCCTCCTCCCTACATCCCAGCTCAGGGAGGAGAAAGCAGGTGTGGACACAGCTGCACCCCTCCTCCAAGCTCCGTACCAGCCCTGGGCTCGGGCGCCAGTGCTGCTCTCCTGTCCCCCTCCCACCTTCTGCCTCAGCCCGCCTGGCCCCCCACCGCCCTGGAGGGCACTGTCACCTTCCCTGGCAGGTCCAGAAGGCCCAGGGTCTCACCGAGCTCCTTCCGCTCAGCCCCAGGGCCTCTCCCTGGAGGTGGGGCTCTGGCCTGGGGCGTGGGTGCCAGGGCCCGTAGCAGTGGCTCAGATCCCAGCCTGGGCCCTCCCAGCCTGCCTCCCTGGGAAAGACGGCCAAGCCCCCGTCTCCATCACGGGTGGGAGGCCGCCCGGCCGGGCCGTCACAAGTACATCTTCATGGCCTTGTGCGTGGTGGGGCAGTAGCGGGCGTGGAGCTGGGCCAGCAGCGCCCTGGACGTGGCCTCGAAGCGCGTGCCCTGGCTCTTCTTATTCCACACGTGCACGGCGTAGGTGGCGTTCAGCATGCGGGCCAGCTCCTCGGGGCTGACGTCCTCAAAGTACTTCTTCCAGTCCTGCCAGGCGATGGGGTAGAAGGCCTCGCGGGGCAGGGCGGTGACGCCGCGGCAGGCGTGGCTGTCCGCCAGCCTGCGGGTGGCGCACCACTTCTTGAAGACCCGCGTGAGCAGCTGGGGGCCCTGGTGGCCCCAGACCCAGCGGTTGTAGTGGGCCACGAAGTCACGCATGCACAGCGCCAGGAACTCGTGCCGGCGCTCGAAGGCCAGGAAGGCGCCGTTGAGGACGTAGCGGGACTGGGTGCCCAGCGCGTTGGTCAGGTTCCTCAGGCTCCTGAGGACGATGAAGTCCGTGTCCAGGTAGATGCCCCCGAACTTCCAGAGCAGCGCGATCCTGGAGGCGTCGGACAGCACCGGCAGCAGGTAGGGCTCCCAGCGCCGCTGCGCCGCGGCGTACCAGGCCGCCAGCGGCGTGCCCCGGAACAGCTCCTCCAGGTCCAGCGGGAGCATCTGCACGTTGGGGAAGCAGCCCAGGAGCGAGATGCCCAGGTGCCGGGGCAGGGAGGCGTTGCCCGCCGGCAGCCCCTTCATCAGGACCACCACGCGGGCCTCGGGGTGGGTCCTGGCGGCCGACTCCACGGAGCACATGAACAGGAAGTTGGGGTTCGTGCGCTCCGAGGTCTCCAGGAAGAAGATGCTGCCCAGCGTGGGGGGGCGGGGCTCCAGGGTGGGGCAGGGCACCTGCGCAGGCAGGCTCTGGAGCCGCCCCGGGTCCCCCGGCGCTCCCGCCACGTGCCAGTAGATCACGACGGAGATGAGAAACGTGAACTTGAAGCTGATGACGAACAGGGTGCAGACCCGCTGCCTCGGGGCGCTGGGGAGCAGACGCAGCAGCCAGTCGGGGGGCCTGGACATGGTCTCCCCGGATCACAGCAGGAGCCTGTGGCGGCGGGAACCGGCCGGTCTGCAAGAGACAAGCACCGTTCTCACACAGGTGCCGGGCATCCCAGGCCCACGGCAAGAAACGTTTCCCCAGACCCAGAGCCAGCTTCCGGGGTCGGCTGGAGCCCTGAGCTGCCCACGGAGGGCAGAGCAGGGCCCCGATCACGGGCCCAGGCAACCAGGGGTGCTGGCCCTGCCACGTGGACGCAGGCCTCTCTGCCTGGCCAGACCTGCGCCCCTCCTCCCACCGTGGCCTGCTGGGGCTGGCGGCCTGTGACTCGAGGCCCAGCTCCCGCACCCCTGGGCTCCGGGACTCGTCTCAGAATAGACCCTAAGTAGCCTTGAGAATTTTTGCCATGGACAGGACGGGGCTCGGGACGGCCTGCAGAACAAAACCGGAGTGGTCCCTGCACCTGGGGTGTGGCTGCATGCACACCTGGGCCCCCAGCTCTGCCCCGACCCAGCTGCCGCTGAGTTCTGTGGCCTCCGTCTTCCCACCTGCTGACCGCCCAGCCTCTCGCGCCTCCTAAGCCCCACGACCACCCTAAGGCGTGGCGATCATCCTCTCCAGCTTACAGACAGGGAGGTGGAGGCGCTGGGCACCATCGAACCCCACGGCCAGCATGAGGCAGGGCCAGGGGAGAGAGCCCAGTCTCGCGGCCGGAGTCTGCACTCCCAGCCCCGCCTGCAGCAGCCTGCCCGCAGTGAATGAACAGCAACCCCGGGCCCGATTGCACCCCCCTCTGCCCTCGGCAACCCGAGGCACAGTGGCCTCCTCTCTGCTCTGAGGACAAAGCCCCCCCGCCCCCCAGGGCACAAACAGGTCGAGGGACTTGGGCGCAGCCTAGGAGTAGCTCCCCTCCCCAGGACAGACGGAGACAGCCAGGGGACTTCATCAGTAGGGCCAGCGCCCCTCCCCCAGCGTGGAGGACACGGAGTCTCCATTATGTCCCGGCTGCAAATTGTCCGGCCCGGGGCGGGGTGGGGGGGGCAGAGCGCGGGGCAGGGAGCCCGGCGGGCGGCGGTTCTCCTGGAGTTTGTCCCGGCCCGGCAGATGAGCTCTTCTGCCCCTCCACACGCTCTCTGCGCCTGCCAAAGATGGCTGAGTGTCCGAGCGAGGCGCTCCCTGGCTCGCGGGGCCGCCACACCTGCTGCGGGGACCGCGCTAGGGGTCAGGCCCCGCACAGTGGCCCAGAGAAGGGAAGAATCAGACACAGCTCTGCCGGGCTGCTCTCAGCTTGCGGGGGATGTTTTGGAAACAGACGAGGACACCATCGTTGGTGATGATTCCCGGGGGGCTTCCTGGAGGAAGTGACTGCCTGGACCCAGCACTGGGGGTGCAAAGGGAGAATGAGTGAGAGACAGGAGGCAGTGGGGGCAGGAATGGAGTGCATTTCTCCTGCAGAGAGAAGAGTTGCACTGATCCCCAGCGTTGTTAACCCACCACGAGCCACACTAGTGGGTGCACAGACAGCCGGACAGACGGCGCGGGGGACAGCGGGAGGTGGGGTGTGCCGCCTGCACCCGTGCCAGACCACAGCTGGGGGTGCCAGGCTCGGGCTGAGCTATATTTGGTGTCAGAGCCCAAGACCCAGGAATGGAAACTATACTGGGCCAAGTCTGTGTGACCTCAGGCCCAAAGCATGCTCCTGTCCCCCTCCCCCCACCACGGGCCTCACCCCCGCAGCCCATACCCTGGCCTTTGTCTGCCGAGGCTGGCACACAGCTGCCGCCTCCTGCCCTGTAGCCAGGGTGACCTGGCACGTGCTGCTGGCGTGGTTGCCATGATCCCTGCCTTGCCAGGCCCTCCAGCCATCACCGGGAGAGGCTGGAAGGACCTGGTGGGCACAGTGACCCGGCCCACACCTTGATCCTGCATAACTGTAAGAAAACACACATCTGTGGCCGTCTAGGGGCAGCCGCGGGAGCTGGGCTGAGGTCAGGCCCCTCCCTACCAGCCCTATTCTGGGGTGTCGGCGTCCTGGGCCGGCACAGGGCAGCCCCGGGAGCTGGGCTGAGGTCAGGCCCCTCCCTGCCAGCCCTGTTCTAGGGTGTTGGCATCCTGGGCCGGCACAGGGCAGCCCTGGGAGCTGGGCTGAGGTCAGGCCCCTCCCTGCCAGCCTGTTCTGGGGTGTTGGCATCCTAGGCTGGCACAGGGCAGCCCCGGGAGCTGGGCTGAGGTCGGGCCCCTCCCTGCCAGCCCCGTTCTGGGGTGTCGGCGCCCTGGGCCGGCACAGGGCTGATTCCTGTGTCCCCACCAGAACAGCAGATTCTCTCAGCTAGAGAAGGGGTCCGGGGTACAGATCTGATGAACCCCGCCATTGTCCTCTTGGGTCACAGTCAGCCAGCGCTTGACAGCTGGGCGGGACGAGGAGCCGGCGAGGGCCGGGGGCCGCTCCTCTACTGGGGGGTGGGGGTGGGAGATGGGGGTGACGTCTCCAAAGGCTGCCAAGCACTGGGTTGAGAGTCGGCACTGGGGTCCGGCCTGCAGCTGCGGGTACTCTCTCACGGAGCCTGCAGAGCCGGGCTGAGGGCCCGGGCAGCAGGGGTCTGCCGAGGCCCCCAGACCCCTGTCTTCTCACCCCTCACCACTGGTCAGCACCCCTTCGACGTGTCTATGCAAACGTACAGAAAACAAGGGGAGGGGTCTGCACCCAACTGGAAGTAGCAGCGGCCACTGGGGACAAGGTCAGGGTCGTGGATGGAGGCTGAGGGCCTTTTAGCTTGCTCCATAATGTAAGGCTCATTCCTACCAAGAAAATGCAGTCACTTATTTGTAGCACAGAAAAACAATCAAAAAGTTTATTTTTCATATTTATTTGAAAGGTAGGCACAGAGAGAGAGCTCCCATCTGTTCACGCCTCAAACACCAACAACGGCCAGGGCTGGACCCGGGCAAAGCCAGGAGCCAGGAGCTCCACCCTGGCCCCCTGCATGGCTGCCGTCACCCGCTGCTTCCCGGGTGTGCATCAGCACCGGGTGTGCATCAGCAGGGAGCTGGGCCGGAAGCGGAGTGGCCAGGCTCAAACCAGGCACCCAGACGTGGCACGCGGGTGTCCAAACTCTGGGCCACAACGCCACCCCAAGAACAGGCGCTGTTCGGCTGGCAGCTTTGGTGTGGCATTTGGATCCCGGCTCCACCAGCAGCTGCCAGGCGGCCCTCAGCTTCCCCTGCTGTGAAATGGGCATAACCGCAGCGTTGCCGGGGCCCTAACCGTGTCCCAAGCTGCTGGCGGGCAGTGTAGCCCGCAGCGGCATCAGGCCCAGCTCTCACAGGGCTTCTACAGAGCCGCCCTCGCTGGCGGATGTACCTGCCTGGAGGGGAAGGGGACAGGCAAACCCAGGGCTGGCGCCACTGACTGTCCCCAGCCAGATGACTGGGTCCAACCCCTCTCTGGGGGTTGGGGAAGTAGGACTCAGGGGGCAGAGGGACACCTCAGACCACAGAACCAGCCCAGCGCCAGCACGGCGGGACTCGAACTCACCACCCATCTGGGCAGCCGCTTGAGGCTTGAGAACCTTGTAGCTGGGGAAGTAGGGCATGGGGCCAGGAGACAGCACGGAGCGCAGAATTCAAACCCAGAGCCCCGAAGCATCTGGGCCTCCCCAAACACAGTCACCTCTGGCACGGAGATGCTCTTCCACAAGCGGGAGGGGGTGGACGCTTTGGTTCCAGAACTGAGACCCCCCCAGTTGGGTGTGAGAAGTCACCACCCACAACTCCCACCCTGCTGTCCCCTCCCCACCTCCCCCAGTCACTCAGGAAGTCAGAGTGGCCGTCAGAGGAAGTGATCGTTGCGAGAGCGGCTGTTCCAGGGCTGGGGTCACCAAATGTTCACCAGAGTCTGAAACCAAGCAAGCCGCGGCCGGCTCCGGGCGGCTCCCAGGTCGGCGAGAAGGCAGAGCTGTTCCCTACAGGAGCGAGGCGGCAGCTCCAGTCAGAATCCCCGCTGACCCGCTGGGTGCCACGGAGAACGAGGGCAAAGAAAGATCAACTGCAGGCAGCCAGCGGGCGCGCGAGACCTGAATTCCCAGCCGCAGGTGCATGTGACCGGAAGCACCTGTGACCTGCAGAGAGGGCGTGGAGGTGGGGAGAACGGGAGCGCAGAGGGTGCCCAGCGGCAGAAGATTCTGGAAGGCACTCCTTTCAAAACCGAGACGGGAGAGGGAGGTGCTGGGGCCGGAGCGAAGCCGGAGTGGACCAGGAGGGCTCACGCTGGATGCACTGACCCCTTGATCCAAGGCGGTTCTGAGAGGCCAAGGGAGGGACAGGAGCAGAGCTGTATTTGCGAGGAAGAGCCCATCACCATGGCAACAGAGGGGGCAGCCTGGCCTGGCTTCTCTCCCGATTTCCACCAACACCTCCCGCGGGTGGCCGGTCCAGGAAAATCTAACTAATTCAAATATGGAAAAAAGTGACGGGAACCAAACACAGGGGAAGGGAGGAACCCGGACGCTCCCTTAAACATAAAGAAATCTCTCTATAAAAATATTGCCATGGAACAAATCAAAACTCTAATCCGAAACTACAGCATGAATCCAAAAATACAGAGGCTGGAGACATAATCCCAGCCCTGAAGTTGAGCCAGAGGCAGACACCGAAGGCCCCGGGGGAGAAACGGACAGCCACAGTGAGCGCAAGCTGGGGGCCTCGGGAGCCAGGCTCAGGGAGAGCCCAGCCCTTCCACCAGCAGAGCCGACTGCCAGCGATACAGACCAGGGCAGATTCCACTTACTGGTGGTCAGAGGTGGAGATGTTCAAAAGGGGGCAGGGAACATACCGAGTCGCAGTAATCAGAGAGATAAAAGGATACAATAAGGAAAAAAAAAAAAAAAAAGACTGATGGAGAAGATACATAGGGGTGGGACTTGGCCCAGCATTTACGACATCATTGATTGGGTCCTGCCCTGCGGTATGGGAGACCTGGATTGCCTTCTCGGCTCTCGGCTCTCGTCCCTGGCCGGGCGATAGCAAGTACTTGGAAGTGAACTCTAGGATGGGTGTTCTCTCTGCATCCTCCC